TGCCTGCGTGTGGGGAACGGCCCGGCGCCCGGCAGCAGGAGGGATGCTGGGAGCTGCACTGGGACGTAGGGGGGGGCGAACGGAGACTGCGCCTCCAACGGCGCGCTCCCGCTGAGGCATTGGGGGCAGCTGCCAGCAATTCCCAGAATGCACCAGTGAATTCCAGGAGCAGCAAGTGTCCCGTTCTAGGGCTGCTCTTCCAGATCCCCGGGCTGTCGGCTTGGTCTGGCTCCCTGGCCCCTGGGGACGGCGATGTGCCTGAGACGCGGGAAGAGGGGGCAGGGTTCTGGAATAAAATCCATGGGCCGAGGGGCCCGGCCAGGAGCTGGGTCTGAATAAGGGCAGGGCCTTGCCAGCAGTGAGGCTGCTCTGCCTGCCGTGGGGCTCAGGGAATTGTCAGGGCAGAGGGTGAGCCTCTGTGTCCCCCCTCCATGGAGCGGTGGCTCCCGCAGGCCCCTCCATTTGTTTCCTGGCCCCGCCCAGCCGTGCGGAGCTGAGCCGCAAGCAGCAGCAGGGCCTTGTGACGCGCTGGGATAACGGTGTCCCAGGGCAGAGCCTGCCGAGGGCCCGGGCTGGTCCCCGGCAGATAGAACCCCACCCAGCCTTGCCCATGGCCCCTGGAGACCCCAGATAAGGCTCTAGGAGGCTCCTCCCCCGCTGCTCCCAGGATCTCAGCTCCCTGCAAAGCTCTTCACTGAGGGACTGAAACCTGCCCTGCCTGCTCTTCTAGGTACGGAGTCAGCAAGCTGGAGGGGATGCTCCGCCCCCTGGTGGCCGAGGGGCTGAAGTGCGTGCTCATCTTCGGGGTCCCCACTGCACTCCCCAAGGTTGGTGGGGCAAAGGGCCATGGGGCGTCTGATGCAGAGACACAGCTAGAGCTGAGGGGCTGGGGGCCGACCAGCTGGGAGGTTGCTGGTCACTGGCCGTGTCCTTCAGCTGCATTTTCACTTGCTCTGAGCCCTTGGGCCTGGCTGGTCAGGCCAGGCAGAGGGCAGCCCGTGGCCAGGCGTCCTTCGCCAGTGCTGCCCCGGTTGCCGGCCGCGCTGCAGGTGAGTTGCTGCTTGCCTCAGTCACACTGACCCGGCGTGGCACCAGGAGGTGCCCCGTCCCGTGGGAGGGCGGGGGACGGCTCCGTTGGGAGCCTGCTCCCTGTCAGTCACTGCTGGCCCTGACGGGGCTGGGGATGTGCTGTCCTTGGCGTGGGCTAGTGTGACGGCACGTTGGGGGTTCCCCGTCTCCTGCACCCCGAAATGGCACAAACAGACTGCACCAGCCAGTGGAA